CTGCTAATGGGTTTTTATTTGGGGGTGATGAAAATGTTTTAAAATTGATTGTGAAAATAGATGCACAGGTCTATAAATACACAAGAAATCCATGGATTATACACTTTAGATAGGTGAGTTATATGGCATGTAAATTGTATCTCAACAAAGTTGTTACTAAAAAAACAAAACCAAAAGAGCCAAATAACTGACATGTGCTTTTGTTTTGATGATGGGGATTTAGGTTTCGTAGAGGGAAGATAAAGTTACTCTATCAGAAGGTCCTGTTAACAGCAACGACAACAAAAAAAATTATAAAAGAACAAACGAGTTGAATCTGACCTTCCTAGATACCATGGTGGGAAATGTTAAATATAATTCATTATACATTATAAGGAGCACCGAACAATTAATGCTAAAGGCAAATGTCCTGTTAGTCCCAAGCTCTAGAGAAATCACTATGTGGATTTTTGTATAGGGCTCATAGACAAAAATGAGAGCCAGTATCCTCAAAGGCAGTTTTACAGAAATCAGAGTGATGCTTCACCAGCAGCAGTTTATGGTGACTCTTAATGAAGGCCAAGGGCTCGGAGACATTTTTAGTTGTCTAGGCCAGCACTAAACAATAGAACTTTCTGAGATGATAAAAATGTTCTGTATCTTTAGTGTCCAGTAAGGTAGCCACTATCCTCATGTGGTTATTGAGCACTGAAAATGTGACTAGTGCAACTAACTGTAATTAAAATTAAAGTGTAATTGAATTTTATTCAATTTAATTTATTCAATTAATTTAAATAGCCACCTGTAGCTAGTGACTGCTGTACTGGGCAGAGCAAATCTAGAAAGTACAAAATGAAAAATAGAACATTATCCATTGAGCCCTAAACATTACTGAGCAAGTTTTGTCTCCCTAAAAAAACTGACAATGCTTGGTGATACAGTTAGTTTAAAAACTCAGTGCAAAACGTATCTATTTTGTACTCACAATGGTCTAAGCTAATCCAATGGTGAAACGACATTGACTCTAAAGTATGTATTCTATTTGCATGTATGTCATAGGTTTTTTATTAGTTTATCTTTTTCTTCTTTCTTTCTTTGCTTCTGTGATCGAAAATTAGAAGATATAGTTCATGCTTTATATTAGCTGGGAAGATGTTCACCCAGAAATACGATCATCTTCAAAAATAACCTCTCCATTCCCACAAGAGTACCAAAATAGCACAGAAATATCAAAAGGCATACACTAGGTTATGTTCTGCTTTAATGAATCAGTGTGAAAAAGAGTTGGAAGAGGGAAGAGTCGTGAATGAGACTGAGTCATGAAACCTAATACTTAGGCTGGCAGTTCACAGTTGGAGATGGGTGTGGGGATATTCATCGAGTCTGTGCACTAACGAAGCATCAATAAACAGGGAAATGGAACACGAATGCGACGGCCAAGTGTCTTTCGGGAGAGGCTGCAAGGGAGGCTGTGAATCCAAAGTGGCATTAAACTCCAGGACAACCTAATGATCAGAACGTCACAGTCTAATCTAGAAAGACACAATTAGAAGTGGACAACACATATACAATTCCCATGGGGATTATATCTCTGTATGAGGAGGCTCTTCGTAAGTGGAAACATATGTGAGCACTTTAGCGGCTACAGTGCAAAGCATGTGTACCTTATAAATACGTAATTGATTCAAGATTGTTAATATATCTTTTCGGAAAGTAAACCAAATAGCATCTAGAAAATTCTCACCTGAACAGCCAGGCAAAATGTTATAAATAAATATGACTTTGAGGAGAAAGTACGAAACTCATTTGCTGTAATGTTGGCTAATAGCTGGGAATACACTAAGCTACCGTTTACAACTAAATTACATTAAATTTAATTTAAAATATCTTTGACACAGTGCCTCCCCATTCTCTACACCATTGAGCCACTAAGAGTTAGAGAAGAATATTAACTAGTTCAACTGGATTACATGGAAACGTAAATCAATCCATGAGTCATAATTTGGCAGAAAAAAATCCCAGGGTGTTTACCAAGCGGGCAGTTTCCCTAAGGATATTTATAGCACAAAGGGCTTCAATTTCTTCATTGGAAACAAGAGTTTTGTTATCATTTTAGTGACTGAGAAGAGAGACTGAACATAGCATTAGATTTCTAAAACCTACATCTATCTAAAACTTAGAGTAATTCAAGCCAAAATGTTGTTTCCGTGTCTCCCTAGTGCCTTTACCAGAGCAATCAGTTAGCTCATTGTTTTACTTCATTTTCTTGCATGTTTATAGTCCTACCCTCGAACGAAGGGGCCTCTGTCATTGCATCCCCATGGTCTCTCACAGTCGCTGTCACATCGTACGTACTTTACAAAGGATCTGGAAATTAGATCATCAAGATCCATAACAGAACCAGTCTTCCACTGAACTGTATTCTAAGAGGGCAAAGGAATCCCAAACCCGACAGGACGGAGAGCATAATGGATTTAGGAGTCAGAGAGTGCAGGCTCTGCCACTCAACACATGCATGTCCCTGGGCAAGCCTGAGCCTCAGCCTCTGCATCTGTGAGATGGGTATTATAATAACAAAGCCCACCTCAAAGGGTGCTATGAACAATACATGAGAAGATGTATCTGACACCTGCAGCCTGGTCACTGGCGCAAACGAACTTTTCAATAAATGTGAGCTATTACAGTGCTATTGTTAAACATTTTAAAAGTTAATATACACTTATTCCATTTTTGTTTCATTACCACTAAAATAAATTATAATCTCACCTTCTTGAGTTAGATACTTTTTGATAACTCCCTCATAGAAAAAAATATACAAAATATTTTTAAACTCAGCTTACAGAATTGTCATGCCCATATGCACTTTCAGTGCTCACAGTATGCAACGGGCACTATTTCGTGTCCACCTTTATGCAGCATGGCTAAGGAAAGAAACCCAGATTTAAAAAAATGTATTGTGGGATAAACCCAAAAAAGCTG